CCCTCGGCCAATAAAGCGAGATGAGCACCGCAACCCCAAAGTCGGTCACGACTGGACCTAATGGTCAGGGGTCCCTTTACCTTTACCTTACCTTAAATAGTTGTTGCGAAGATGCTAACAATATAATGTACCTGAAGTGCTTTGAACAACCGAAAGCACTGTTTAAATGTTAAGTATTATCAACACTGGCCCACTGTGTCTTCCAGAGCAGACAGCAGACTTTTCACACTTTCTGCCTGAGAATGGAGGGAAGCAACAACTGTTGCATGCATTATGCAAGGGCAGAAACACAGGGAAGACTTCGTCTCCATTATATCACCCACATCTTAGAAACCCTCCCAGCAACACTTTTGCCAAGACAATATTACCTGGGTGCTTCTTACTCTTCTTCACCTATGATAATGCGATGAACTACTGAGGAGCGTCACTTGCCCCAGACTCTCTTCTTCTCGCCGCTTTGTTTTTCCCAATCCGTCACAGGGGACAGTGGCAGCAGCATGAGGAGCCCGGGGAAAGCGAGAAGGACGGATGGAAATCCCACACAGAGTGCGCTTTCTCTCCCCAGACAGGCAATCGCAGACTCTCTTGTCAAGCCAAGGCCTCGCTAACCCCAGGGCCCATCCTTTTCTTCTCTGTAACAAATCAAATTTTGCAACCCAACCTTGCCACATCATTTGAGCGTATTGACACAATTGGGACTTCAACCCCAATTTTGCTTTGTGTTTTTCAAGTGGGGTTTACATAAGTAGAGAACAAGATAAAGCACGCACAATACATCGGGGGCCCAGCTGAGCGAACAGTGAACTCCACGGTCTGCGTATCTGGAAAGCAAATCCATGGCCATCTTCAACCTGCTAGCAATGTTTAAGGGGCCTTCCACCACCACCCACTGATTTTTAAAAAATTATTTTTTGAGGTTGTTATCTAGAATAATAATAAAGGTAAAGGGACCCCTGACCATTAGGTCCAGTCGTGACCGACTCTGGGGTTGCGGCGCTCATCTTGTTTTATTGGCCAAGGGAGTCGGCGTACAGCTTCCGGGTCATGTGGCCAGCATGACTAAGCCACTTCTGGCGAACCAGAGCACCGCATGGAAACGCCGTTTACGTTCCCACTGCAGCGGTACCTATTAATCTACTTGCGCTTGATGTGCTTTTGAACTGCTAGGTTAGCAGGAGCAGAGACTGAACAACGGGAGCTCACCCCATTGTGGGGATTCGAACCGCCAACCTTCTGATCGGCAAGTCCTAGGCTCTGTGGTTTAACCCACAGCGCCACCCGCGTCCCTAGAATAATAATATTACCTTGGAATTTTGAGGAGCTTCCTATATCAGGATACCAAAGATTAATGGGGCTGTGCCTTCCTTGGCATCCACTTTTAATTTATTATTATTATTATTTTGCCTTCTTGCCTCACTTGCAAATTCTCAACATAGGGAACTGCTTTGCATCCGTAAGTCCCACCCTGTGAATTTTGAACTCACAGGGAACACTGTGGTCACATCTGCACCATAGGTTTACAGACCCTCCAAGTGTCCCTATTTTCCCGGGACAGTCCTAGATTTACAGAAGTCATCCTGGTTAATTCAAGCACACCATTGTCACGTCGTTCCCAAATCACACCACATTTCATATATCTTCCAATGGTGAAACGATTTCACCATTTACACAGATCTCACTTGACACTTCACTGCAAAAGAGGTGTCCTATTTAGCATCAAGAAACAGCATTATAAAGGTCACACACATATTTCCTTTGGATGAGGTAGCTTCTAATGACAAATGCAAATGTCAGAAGATCCTAGCAAAACTGCATTGTTCTTGTGTGGAAATTCTGAGATTCCTGGGTTAGACTCCATGAGTCACTAGCATCCAAAAGGTAAAAATGGAAATTCCTGGTAAATGTAGCTGATGGGGAATAATTCGCTCTTTAATACATGTGATGTGTTAGAGCTGAATTAATAAGCTATCACTAAACAAAGATCATTGGGATCTCATGAACTGGATTGTCATTGTTGTTAAGTTAAATAAACCCAAAGTGGTTAACTTAGGAAGGAAGGAAAGAAGGAAGGAAGGAAGGAAGGAAGGAAGGAAGGAAGGAAGGAAGGTAGATCCTGGGGCTGAAGCTTCTGTAGATATCATGTTTTCTAAACAAGTAGGTTGACCCCAACCAGTTGATGGCATGAAAGGTCAACCAAGTCAAGTGGTTTCCTGAGGTCCAGTAGCAATCAAAGAACCACTAAGTCAGTCTTGCAAACTTGACTTTCACTGGGTGTGAGTTCCAGCCCACTGAAGGCCAATATTCATTACTTCCCATGAGACCACGACTTGCACCAAATGGGTGTACGGCCCAAAATCTCATGGCAAACTTTCCAAGTGTCCCTATTTTCCAGGGACAGTCCCGGATTTACAGGAGGCATCCCAGTTTCTGATTTGATCCCAGAATGTCCTGCTTTTCCTTAAAAAGGTAAAGGGACCCCTGACCATTAGGTCCAGTCATGACCGACTCTGGGGTTGAGGCACTCATCTCGCTTTATTGGTCGAGGGAGCTGGCGTACAGCTTTTGGATCATGTGGCCAGCATGACGAAGCCGCTTCTGGCGAACCAGAGCAGCGCACCGAAACGCCGTTTACCTTCCCTGCTGGAGCGGTACCTATTTATCTACTTGCACTCTATTTTCATTGGAGAAATGTTGGAAGGTTGCAAAAAATGTGTATACCAGGCAAAAGTGCATATTTATATTAGGTGAAATTTGCACTTAACCTCTGATGAATTTTCATGAGGATTTTAACAAAAGAAAAGAATTCACAGACCAATGTAGAGAACCGAATTGGAAAAATGAAAACCTGGGAGCAACTGAAAATGATGCACACACCCCCCCCAGTCACAATCTGCTCAGACTATCTGAACCACCAGTGATTTGGCTAACCTTTCACTCTCCCCAAACATCCCCTAAATGTGCCTCTCAAAATTGTCTCCCACAAGAATGTCAAGTCATCTCTTCCACAGTCCAGCAAAAGTTTCACCACTTGATTCCACTGGCTGTATAAACTGATCTTTGCTTTCATGCATGTGTTTGAACCTTGGAGTCTACAGCACATTCTACCTGCCAGCTCACCTTGCACTTGAGTTGGCCGCCCCCAAATTTTCACTCCATTGTCATCTCTTGGCCAGTTTTCAAATCACAACAAGACTCTTTCTGACACTCTGAGGTTACCAGGTTTCCTAAACAACTTCCTGCGAAAGGACTTACTAAAAAGCATTTTCGACATCTGAATAATTCACAGCCAGAGCTCATCTTCATCCTACTATTTTGCTATGTCTTTAGAAGACGAAGGGGAAGGGGGGAAAACACACACAATTCTAATTAGTTGGTGTTTGTACAGCGCTTTGAAGATGAAACGAACTACTGTGCTTGAGTATTATTATTGCAATGCCTGGGGCACCATCTCCAATTTGCTTCTCAGAAACCTGAACATGATCCAAGAGCAGTTTGCACAGGAGCCAAGGCAAGGAATCCCAATTACTACCTCTGTGTTGTCAGGAAGCTACATGGGTAAGCCAGCCCTTCCAATAAGCAAGCGTCACTCCCACCCCAAGGGCAACACAAGACATTTGGCTGTCTGTGGTGAGGAATAACATGGCTCAGCCTCCTAATCCATCTACAGAAGGTGACCAGATTGGCAGCTCAATTATACTTCAGCATGGGCAACAGGCTAGCTTACGGTTTGCTCAGAAGGCCACATGGAACACCCTATCATCATAGAATTGTAGAATTGGTAGGGACCCCGAGGGTCATCTAGTCCAACCCCCAGCAAAGCAGGAATCTCAACTAAAACATCCATGGCAGATGGCCATCCAACCTCTGCTTAAAATATGGTTACCAGATTTTTCCCAATGAATCTGGGGACACTTTTCTTTTCTTTTCTTTTCTTTTTTTTGAAGCTGAGTAGCAACAGGGAGTCAGTAGTGGGGATGGTGAGGCAAAAGACACTGGGCCCAAGCACACATGCGTATTGTATAAACGTGCAAAGCCCTTCTTTTGCACCCTGTGAAACATAAATGCGCAGAGTTTTTTAAAAACTGGGCAATGGCACACCGCCCACTCGTGACTTCCGAGCCTTCCCCAATCTCCTGCCCCCTTCCCCCTTTTTTTTGACAGATCAGGAGAGGCTCGGGAGTTGCGGGTGGGCGGCCGTTGCCCAGGAGGAGCGCAAGGCACGCGGTTTCTCTGCCAGGCAAGGTGCAAAGCCCTTTTTCCCCACCCTGTGAAACATAAATGCGCAGAGTTTTTATTAAACTGGGCAACGCCCACCTGCCCGCAACTCCCCAGCCTCCCACAACAGTCAAAACAAAGGGGGGAGGGGGCAGGAGATCTGTACCGCTGGACGTCCCCGGTTCCGCTCTGGCAGTGGCGGTGGCAGCGGCAGTCAGCAGCCCGGAGCCAGCCTGGTAGTGCAGTTGGCTCTGGCTGCCTTCAGGAGCTGCTCGCTGTCATGGCGCCTGCCATTTTTCCTCTCCAGAAGTCCCCATATGATGGGTTGCGCACAAGACACATCATATGGGGACTTCCAGTGAGGGGAAATGGCGGGCACCACGGCAGCGAGCAGCTCCTGAAGCCAGCCAGAGCCAACTGCACTACCAGGCTGGCTCTGGGCTACTGAGGCTGCTGCTGCCACGTTTCCCGGGGACAGATTTGCAAATCTGGGGACATTCTGGGGACAGATTTGCAAAACCGGGTACTGTTCCCGGAAACCGGGGACATCTGGTAACCCTAGCTTAAAAACCTCCAAGCAAGGAGAGCCCACAACCTCCCAGGGGAGACTGTTCCACTGTCAAACATTCGTAGCACCTCTGTAGCATTTCCACACACAAAATAATAATAATAATAATAATAATAATAATAATAAATTTTATTTATATCCCGCCCTCCCAAGCCGAAGCTGGGCTCAGGGCGGCTAACAACAATCAAAATAATCCAACATTCAAAAATAAAAGGAAGGGCCATAGCTTTGATGGCAGAGTATCTGCTTTGCATGCAGAAGGTCCTAGGTTCAATCCCCAGCATCTCCAGATAAGGCTGAGGGAAAATCCCTATCTGAAACCTCGGCAAGCCACTGCCAGTCAGTGTCAGCCATATGAAGCTAGATGAAGAAGAAGAGCTTGGATTTGATATCCCGATTTATCACTACCCGAAGGAGTCTCAAAGTGGCTAACATTCTCCTTTCCCTTCCTCCCCCACAACAAACACTCTGTGAGATGAGTGGGGCTGAGGGACTTCAGAGAAGTGTGACTGGCCCAAGGTCACCCAGCAGCTGCATGTGGAAGAGCGGAGACACGAACCCGGTTCCCCAGATTACGAGACTACCACTCTTAACCACTACACCACACTGGACCACTGAACCTGACTCACTATAAGGCAGCCTGCTGTAGTTCCTAAGCATTTCCCCATTACCTTGTTTTTAGACAAGCTTACAAACAGCAGCGCTGTTCAACGGGAGGAAAGCCAGGATTTATTTATTTGTGTGTGTGTGGCACATGCTACATTCTGAGTTTCAAGCCTGGCAAAGCTCCCCGTGTTATGAATTTTTTGGTTTCTCCTCCTGACTTCTTCCCTGTCACTACAGCGAGTTTGTTTTCCTTTGGTGTTTTCAAGCACGGGTTGCGGTCATGTCTGTCCCGTGCACGCCACTTGCTCAATCGCTCGCTCGCTCTGTTTTGAAGCGTGAGTGGCTCATTCCCCGAGTCTCATCGTTGCTTTTTGGCCCAGTCTCCTAACAGGAAATGCGAGATTTATTTTATCTGGCTTGAACGACATTGTTCCTTCCTGGCTACTGGTGTTACTTCGCTCTGAATAACATGGCTTGGTGCTCACAGCTACCTAAGGTCAAAGCCGGAGGGTAATAGGCACATTTAAGAGCAGCAGGAAGCAAAGGAAGAGAAAGCAATGGGGAGCGTCAGGACGTGGGGGTGGCAGTAAGAGGGGAGTAGCAAAGACACAATGAAAGAGCCTTCTCTCGCAGCCGTAAAGTTGCCACGGTTAGGAAAAAGCAATGTGTGGTGTAGTAGCTCTGACAGCAAGATCCTATATATGTTTTCTCAATAGTTGTCCCACTGAATTCAATGGGTTTTGCTTTCAAGTAAGGGAGGGGGGATGATGCAAACCCACCAAGTGTCTCTATTTTCCAGGGACAGTCCCGGATTTACAGAAGCTGTCCTGGTTTCTGATTTGATCCTGGAATGTCCCGCTGTTCCTTTGGATGTCCCTATTTTCACCAGAGAAATGTCGGAGGGCACGGAGTTATGTAAAGGTCGAGTCAAGGAGATAAATAACTATACAACCTTTAGAAGACATCTGAAGGCAGTCATGAATAGGAAAGTTTTAAATGTTTTATATATGTTGGAAGCTGCTCAGAGTGGATGGGGTAACCCAGTTAGTGGGGCAGATGATGATGATGATGATTGAATAGGCTGTCCCCATTTCCATCGGAGAAATGTTGGAGGGTATGCAGATCTTGCAAAACATTTTGTTGAAATTAATCCAGCTTGTTTTGAGCATATATAAAAATATTTTTTTCAAGAACAACTATCCTTTAGGTGTTTCCCACCACCACAGACCTCCCTGGAGATAGTCAAGAAAGATTTGTTGTTGTTGTGATATACACACACACGGCTGCCCCCTCTGCTTGTGTTGCTTGCCATCTCCAGCTGCCCCACCTCGCCAAACCGCCTCCCTTTACACCCCTCCATCTTTCCCTCTCTCCCTGCCCTAATTTCATGTAAATCCAGAGGTTTGTGATGTGGCACTACAAATTCTCCAGTGGGTGCTAACTGTTGACAGCCTGACTTTTTTATGTATATAGGAATATCTAGCTAGCTAGCTCTACACACTCACACACAGGCACAGGTTGAATTTAGCGTGAGACAAGACTGAGCTATGTGGACCAATATAACCTGACTCAATACAGTGGTACCTTGGGTTAAGTACTTAATTCGTTCTGGAGGTCCGTTCTTAACCTGAAACTGTTTTTCACCTGAAGCACCACTTTAGCTAATGGGGCCTCCTGCTGCTGCCGCACCGCTGGACCACGATTTCTGTTCTTATCCTGAAGCAAAGTTCTTAACCCGAGGTATTATTTCTGGGTTAGTGAAGTCTGTAACCTGAAGCGTATGTAACCTGAAGCGTATGTAACCCGAGGTACCACTGTATAAGGCAGCTTCCCGTGTTCCTATGTGAACTTTCAGCATTGGACACCATCTTTGGGAGATTCAGGTGTTCCCCTTACTTTTAAGTCATTTTGCTTTGCTGAATTCCATTCTCCGCATTCCCCGAGTCTAAGGAAGACAAACAGCTTGACTGTGGCATATCCTCGTGCATCTGTTGCGATACGTCTGATAGAAACTGCACCGGTGCAGTTTGCTCATGCTCTATGGAGAGCCATCTGGCCGCAAGCAAACCTGCCCAGGACCCTTGATTTTCTTCCTCTTTTTCTTTTTTTCAAAATAAAACTGCATGCTGGGGAACTAAAGAGATCACCAGGCTGCTGGGATAGTTGCCAGATGGTAGTTCAGGTATGTTTATGAGATGATGTTTCTTATTTTTTATATGTCTGCGTGTTTTGACACTGTTCGCCTAGAGGCAAGGAACATGAAAAGAGCTACTAAGGGCCTCTCAACCACAGAAGGTGCCCGTCAAGCCCCAATTTATCTCATGAGAACAAGGCTGGGGGCTTTCTTCAGCCCAAGGCAATCCCCCCAGGAGTCCCATGCTAGAGGGAAAAGTGGGTGGGGCAACAAATGTATGTTGTTGCTCTTTTCAAAACTTTCATCAACTCGGCTAGTTTCTATGGACATTTGTACACTGGCTTAAAGCTATGCCAGATCTATACCCTGTTCAGAACTGAGGTTGCTGCCGCCGCTCTTCCTAAGGTTGGCAGAGGAAAAGCAAGCCTTTAAATTTATACTCTCTGCCAGGTTGCCAGCAGAGCTTATCCACACATTTTACCACATGGAGGTCAATGCTTTGACGCTCCACATCCAAATGTTTATTATTTCTTTGCCCCGAGCTTTCCCCACTAAAAAACCTGCTCTTTAAAGCTGAACAGGAGCAAACGTCAATTCTGGATTTTCCGCAGACTGATGTTTGCTCCATTGGGGCAAATGGAGCAGGTTTGGATGGAGAAAGCTCCACAGCATGGGAGGAAAAGGGTGCTCAGACATGGAGCTTTAAATCGTGGAGGAAAGATAAGTGTGAATAAGCCCCAAGTTGAATAGGTGTCGGATCCAGCCTAAGTCCCTGCCCCCCAGTCCTACCCTTGCTCTTCTCTAGAAAAGAGGAGCCAGAGAATGAGGTGTGCTGTGTGTGTGTGTGTGTGTGTGTGTGTGTGTGTAATGCCCAAGAGATTATAACTGGTCCAGAATAACAAACTCTACAGGCTTGGATGCAGTTTCAGAGCCTGAATCATGTTATGAAATCATGCTTTTTAATTGTAACTGTTTATAGGATGTTTTTGACTGAAACTGCTTCTAGATGTTTTGAATTGAAGCTGTTTTTAGAATGCCTTAACTGTGTTCGCTCAGTTGGCTAGAGTGTGGTGCTGATAATGCCAAGGTTGTAGGTTTGATTGCCGTGTGGGACAACTGCATACTCCTGTATTGCCGGGGGTTGCACTAGATCATAGAATCATAGAATTGTAGAGTTGGCAGGGACTATGAGGGCTCATCTAGCCCAACCCCCGGCAATACAGGAATCTTTTGCCCAACGTGGGATTCGAACCCACAGCCCTGAGATTCAGAGTCTCCTGCTCTACTGACTGAGCTCTCCCAGGCCTGTCTGGGCCCCTTCCAACTCGACAATACTATGATTCTGTGAGTGCTTTTCTGTTTTAAAAAAACGTGGATATGTTTGCTGCCCTGGGCTCCTTCAGGAAGGCAGGCAGGATATAAACCCAACAAACAAATATGTATCTGCTCTGGAGGGAACATGTTATTTAATTATTTAACACATGGGTGGTGCTGTGGGTTAAAGCACAGAGCCTAGGACTTGCCGATCAGAAGGTCGGCGGTTCGAATCACTGCGATGGGGTGAGCTCCCGTTGCTCGGTCCCTGCTCCTGCCAAGCTAGCAGTTCGAAAGCACGTCAAAGTGCAAGTAGATAAATAGGTACTGCTCTGGTGGAAAGGTAAACGGCGTTTCTGTGCGCTGCTCTGGTTCGCCAGAAGCGGCTTAGTCTTGCTGGCCACATGACCCGGAAGCGGTACGCCGGTTCCCTCGGCCAATAAAGCTTGATGAGCGCCGCAACCCCAGAGTTGGCCATGACTGGACCTAATGGTCAGGGGTCCCTTTACCTTTAATCTCACTGCCCCCTTGCCCTAATGGACCTAATGGCCAGGGGTCCTTTTTATTATTCGTTGAGGGAAGGACACTCAAAAGGTCCCGGATACAATTCCTAGCACCTTCAGAGACGGCTGAGAAAAGACTTGCGCTTGAAACCCTGGAAAGCTGTTGCCAGTCAGTGTGGACAACACTCAGCTTGATGGACCAACAGTCTGGCTTAGTATAAGGTCTCCCACCTAGCCCTAAGATTCACCATGTTCCTTCATTTTACGTATATTTCTATTTTAATAGTTTGCTTTCTTTGCACCGAGTGAGCAAAGCTAAAAACTTGCCGAATATTGTACTTATTATTGGCACCCACTCATTGTTCTTTAAGAAATGGAAGATTTTCAAGGGGAAAATAAAGCACTGAACTGAAACATCACTGACTGAAGCAGGTATTCATCCCCTGCTTCACTTTCAGAGAACCCAAATTAAGACGAAATCCAATTGACCTCAGCTCAGTCTGCACAAGACTCTTAATCTTAGGGTTGTGAGTTTGAGACCCACGTTGGGCAAAAGATTCCTGTGTTGCCAGGGGTTGGACTAGATGCCCCTTGTGGTCCCTTCTAACTCTTTGATTCTAAGGCAGCTTCCTAGGTTCTTATGTTGCTGTTGTTTTTTTGTCCCACAGGATGCGTCTCTTTAGCCCGATAGAGCTTCATGAAGCAGGCTCTCTCACTGCTCTGGACACTTCCCATGGACATCCCAACGACGGGACCCTCCTCAATACATTTCTCTTTCCTTTGCTGTCTCCTGTTTCTTTCCAGGAGTCCTCCATAGGCCAGAGCTCTATTACAATGAGGTCAAGACAGCAGAGGTTTGGGAGAAAACTGCCTCGTCAGTTTTGCGAGCAAAACCCAACACACAAACACACAGAGAAAAGGCTACTTCTAGTCCTGATTGCTACTGGAAATCAGCATATGATTATGACTGGGGAGGGGAAGGAAGAGTGTTGTTAGCATGTCTCATTTAAATACACGCGCAGGGACTTTGCTCTGTTTCCCCCTTCACTTTAGGTAAGGTAATTATTATGGAAACTGTCAGCTGGGTTATTAATTAGGCAGCCATGAAGATAACACACACCGTCTCCCCCAATAAGCTTTGGCATGAGGGCAAACAGAGGCTGTTGGCAGGAAGGCATAGAGAGAGAGAAAGAGAGTGGCATGGGCTGCAGAGCCTTGCCATGGCCAGGCCCTCTTGACACAGAAGGGTTTCCCTTCCCTCTGCCAGTGCCTCGCTCGACGCCAGCTCGGCTGCCTTCCCCACTTCCAACAATGGCTCTCCTCCATGTTGGCAACCGGAGAGCCTCGCAGAAGAAAATACGAAATTGCTCTTGGAAAAAAAGAGTGTGAGTGGAAGGAAGAGGAGCGAGCCAAGATAGAGGGATCCAAATGGAAGCTCCCACACTCTTAAATGTCACTCGAAAATATCACACACACGTGTGTGTGCCTGCACACACACACACACACACACACACACAGCCAGCTCTGTCCACAATGAGACACAAGAGATGGCAACTGCACTGGTGGGTGATGTGAAATACCTAGAGGGATGTGGTACAACTGAAGCAAAACGCCCGTCAACTCACTTCAACAGCAGATTTCTTTACCTGCTTCAAGAACAGAACTAAAGCTTCTGGATAATGATTCCTGGCTTTAAAACAAAAAAGCGATAAGGATGCTAATGACAGATTTATCGTGAGCACTTTAATCATTTCTGTTTTGTCCTCCTCATAGGTTTCTTTAGAAAAGAACAGGACACATATTCGTAAACATTTTAAACATGGAGGGGGAAGGATCAGTCACGGGATGTTGGAAACCAGAGCGGGAACGGTGGAAGCGGAAGGTCTGTTTGAGGAATTAAAAAATATATATCACATGGGTTTGTAGATATTGTGTGGTTGGAGGTTGCAAAAGGCTATGGGGCGGGAGCATGGAAAGGTGGAGTAAAGAAGGAGCAGGAAGACGGGGGGAAATGCCACTTTTATTATGTTTATATCCCAGCTTTTACTCCAAGGAGCTCAAAGTGGCACACATGGTTCTCTCGCTCCTCATTTAATCACCACACAAAAAACCCTGTGAGATAAGGTAGGCTGAGAGGCCATGACTGGCCCGAAGTCACCACAGTGTGGAGGATTTGAACTCTGGACTCCCAGGCCCTAGTCCAACACTCTAAACACTTACGCTGCAGTGGATCCTCCATGATCTTGGAATAGGAAGGGTGCACGTTGGACACAAGAAACAAAAGACAGCTGAATTTCACGTGCAAATATTGGTCCGTCATTTGTTTAAATCTCAGAGCAAGTCTCAAATTTTCTCCTTACAAACTACTGTAAAACCGAGGTCTAGTGAAAGAATACAGAAACCTACACAGTCCATTCACAGCTGATTAAAAGAAAGGGTACAGTGGTACCTCGGGTTAAGAACTTAATTCGTTCTGGAGGTCTGTTCTTAACCTGAAACTGTTCTTAACCTGAGGTAGCACTTTAGCTAATGGGCATAGCTGTCAACATTTCCCTCTTTTTAAGGGAAATTCCCTTATTCTGAATAGGATTCCTCGTAAGAAAAGGGAAAAGTTGACAGCTATGCTAATGGGGCCTCCTGCTGTCGCCATGCCACTGCCGTGCGATTTCTGTTCTCATCCTGAAGCAAAGTTCTTAACCTGAGGTACTATTTCTGGATTAACAGAGTCTGTAACCTGAAGTGTCTGTAACCTGAAGCGTCAGTAACCCGAGGTACCACTGTATTCCCAGATAAACATGCCGTGAGACTCCAAGGGGTTTCATCCAATTACTCAAAGTAGATCTGTGAAAGTTGTGGGCTCTGAGTAACTTAGGTTCCTGGGTCTACTATGTGTAGGACTTAGCTGGGGAAAAAACAAACTCAGATGTGGTGGGGTTCAAGATTCACCACAGTCAGCACTTAAGGCTCACATCTTAAACATTGCCCACCTCTATTCTGGCTTATTCCGCATGCTTCAGCGGAAGAAAACCACTACTTGGTTGTGATCTTTCCAGCTGAGGGGAAAACCCACAAATCGCGATGGGATGCATGACGCAGAAGCCCCGCCCTTCCCATGTAAGGAAGCCGTGGGCAGCCGTACACAGTTCCTTTTATACATTCTCGGGGAAAGCCTTGGAAAATAGTCTAGCAGCCCTGGGATTTCCATTAGCTCTCTCTCTCTGACTGCACATCTCTCCCAGCTCTGCCCTGCACCACCACATGGACACACCCATTTCGTGGTAGAATACCAAGTTACCCAGAAGGCCTAAAAAGCTGTAACAAGCAGCCTTTAAGTCATCCACGTTCTCAGGACTGGTCTCCCTCCCCACCTCTGGCAAAGAGAGCCAAACCATGGAAGGGAGAAGGGGGTGGGGAGCCATGTGTTTTTCTCCTTGATCTGCGCAGCCTTCGGTGCTCCAGAGTAAAGGCTGCCAGAACAGGAGAAGTGCATTATGCTAACTATTCTGCCGCGGCTCCGCGGTGCTAAAGGTAAGATGTAACGCAGCGCAGCTTTTATTCGCCAGGATTCCCCTCAGGCAGCCTCTGTTAAAAGGGTTAATGACAGATGTTTCCATTAAACCTGACCTACCTCTTAATTTCGCAGCCGCCTGACAATATCCCTGCCTCTGTGCTTATTTGCATGGGCAAACAGAGTCGCTCCATGACATGCCACACACACACGCGTGCGCCCAAATGTCAACCCATTCTTTTTTTATAAAAAAAAACAACAACGTTGATCTGCACCCATGTGTGCATTTTCCCCTTAATAAAATAAAAATAACAATAGACTTTTTTTTTAATGTTCCTATACACAGGGAATTCAGAAGCACACAAACCATATAAATGAATGTAGTTATGCTCTTCAGAAGTATTAGGACTACCTGTTGCCTACTCCTTGAATACTTCTGATGGCCCTTTTCACATCTGTACATCATCACTTTTGGGGAGAGATTCTTTAGCCGTGATTCCTGCATTGCAGAGGGTTGGACTAGATCAGGCTTCCTCAAACTTGGCCCTCCAGATGTTTTTGGATTACTGCAATGTGCTCTATGTGGGGCAACCTTTGAAGGTGACCTACAACTAATCCAGAATGCGGCAGCTAGACTGGTGACTGGGAGCGGCCGTCAAGACCATATAACACCGGTCTTGAAAGACCTACCCTGGCTCCCAGTACATTTCTGAGCACAATTCAAAGTGTTGGTCTGAGCTTTAACGCCCTAAACAGTCTCAGTCTTGTATACCTGAAGGAGCGTCTTCACCCCCATCGTTCTGCCCGGACACTGAGGTCCAGCGCCGAGGGCCTTCTGGCAGTTCCCTCACTGCGAGAAGCCAAGTTAGAGGGAACCAGGCAGAGGGCCTTCTCGGTAGTGGCACCTGCCCTGTGGAACGCTCTCCCACCAGACGTCAAAGAGAAGAACAACTACCAGACTTTTAGAAGACATCTGAAGGCAGCCCTGTTTAGGGAAGCTTTTAATGTTTAACAGACCACTCATTTTAATACTTTATTGGAAGCCGCCCAGTGTGGCTGGGGAAACCCAGCCAGATGGGTGGGTGGTATAAATAAATTATTATTATTATTATTATTATTATTATTATTATTATTATTATTATTTTGGCCTACAACTCCCATGATCCCTAGCTAGCAGGACCAGTGGTCAGGGATAATGGGAGCTGTAGTCTCAAAACATCTGGAGGGCCGAGTTTGAGGAAGCCTGGACTAGGTGGTGACTCCTTGGGTCCCTTCCAGCTTTACAGAGCCAGGAGTCTAAAATACTTCTGCTCAAGAGCCTAGCTGCAAACGTGCCCCTTTAAAGGCAAACTGAGACTCACATCAAACCCAGCCAGCATGGCCCATCATCAGGGTGGTAGGAGTTGTGGTCCAAGACATCTGGAGTTTACCAGGTTGTGGGAGGCAACCAGAAGACCTCAGGTTCTCCATCCCAGACCTACAGTTTAAAGTGGCACAGCCCAGACTCTCACCAGCTTCGTTTTCTGTAAGGTGTAAGAATGGTTTTAAGACCTCTGTTGGAATAGCCTCCCACAACTGCAAATTGCACCATCCCTTTGGGAGAAGACACCATTAAACTCTCTGAAATTAGAGTTGCTTTTGTAGCGCAGAGCTAGCCTAAAGCAAAAACTACCCTTCCGAGATCCTAACTAACAAGAAGATGAACAACAGCAAAAGCCAAACAAACTTTTCCCCACCCCGGTATTGGTATACCACTTGGAAAAAATTATATTGGAAGAAGTGTCTAAGTGTGTGTGTGTGTGTGTGTGTGTGTGTGTCTGTACCTTTTCGTTGTATGGAAATGTAAAGGATTGCATACACAACACACAAATCTTACCTGTCCAGGTGACTAAAATTGCTACACAGAATCCAGAAGATATAGATGGATTGTCCAAAGGGTCTTCTAAACATTACTGACCCCTAGAGGCACTGGAATGAACTGATTCACCATCCAGACTAGGTTGAAAAGATGAATTGTGCTTGAGAGAGAAAGAGAAATCTTTGCTGAGCACAGACACATGGAATGGCCTCTCAGAGAAACGGCCACACGGATCAGAAAGACCCACGGAACGCACACTTCTAAACCTGGCCTGAGCAATTGAGGCAAACATGTCCACCCATCTGTGTAAGGTCACCTGCAGAGAATTTAGGCAACCTCCTGCACATGCCGATTGCCTGGGACTTAAAAATGGGGGAGAAGGTCAAGAACGTGGTTGGCCATGGAAACATACTGTAGCTGGCAGGCTGAAATCAACGTGATGGGCTGCATGCCATGCAGGTATCTTCTAAAATGAGCCCTGGCCCTTTAAATTACCAGCCTAGGGAAGATTCATAAGCCTGTAGAATACAAAGCACAACAGAGCCCTCTCATGCATTATTCATGTGTTGTTGGTCATCGTTCATTCATTCATTCATGCATTCATTCATGAACATAGGAAGCTGCTGTATACTGAGTCAAGACACTGGAACATCTAAGTCGGCCTTTCTCAACCTGTGGGTCCCCAGATGTTGTTGAACTACAACTCCCATCACCCCTAGCTAGCAAGGCCAGAGCTCAGGGATGATGGGAGTTGTAGTCCAATAACATCTGAGGAACCACAGGTTGAGAACCGCAGATCTAAGTCTATATTGCCAGCACTGGCCGGCAGCAGCTCTCCTCATGCAGGCGACATCCCCAGTCCTGCCTGGAGATGCCTAAAGCTGGAGCTGGGATCCCCTGTATATAAAGCAGATGTTTTCCCATTGATCTGCAGCTTTTCTTCTTAGTTTACTTATAGGTGGGCTACAATAATATAGATCAATATTAAAATCAGTCAAAGCAGTTTACGCTGGAAGAATGGGGTGGGTCCTAAACGTGTATCCCAGTTGTCAGAGGCCAGCATAGCGAGGTATGTGCTCAGTAAATGGCCAAAGCCACAAAATGAAGGTGCCAGCTGCACTCTGCGAGGGGGGAATTGAACAGTTTAGGCG